CAAGGTTAGATGGGAGTAAGAAGCACAATAGGAAAAACGTTAGTATATTTAGGGTTTTTCACATGAGATTTTTAGTGTTCACAAAATATTGGCTAACGCTGATTGGCTAATTCTTATCCAATCAGCTTGAGCCAACTCAAGTGTGCATTGAGCATAATTTAATCCAATCTATGTCCTGCTAACAGAATCAAATGTAGATATTTCAAAAGATTACAAAACAATGATTAAACAGACTTATTATTACAGCTAGATATTACTCATAAAAATATGGACTCAAAATAGAAAACTAATTTCAATCATTATTTACATTGATGACATCAATTGTATAAGTTAATTATATTAAATCATCGAATTCATTGTTATTTCTAAAAAGCCTTAGCTTAACAAATAAATCTTCTCTCTTTTTTTATGTACTCTTTTACCTAGAATACTAATCTTCCAATTTTTTCCTTCTCCGTTTATTCTTTAAACTATTCACTTACTTAGTCTATAAACGATTTAAAGAAAAAAAAGAAATTCACATCTCAACTTTTAAATAATCAATTTTTAAAAAAAAAGCAGCTGAAGAGAATCTTCGAAGTAGATTAACATCATATTGTTTGGCTATGAATGCTTTCTTGCTTTAATGAAACATATAAGATGGATCATTTGATCCCTCATGGGATGGTGCGTCTGCATTTCTGTGAAATTTCATATCAGTAATATAGATATGTCTAGTGCTTCATGAATTTCTGTATTTATTTGGGTACAATCATTCTATCATGTAAAGTGAGAAGTCAAGTGATTTCTATAAGCTCTTGTAATTAAGATGTATTATGTTAATACAGCATTAGCATTTATTGTTATTATTTTAATTATTGGTTTATAGGTGTATTATGGACAGTTTATTTGTTCCTTATTGTCTATCATGAAATCTTATATTGAAGCATTCAGTATAAAACACTATGGGTTGAATAAAACAAATTAGATAATTGTTTATACTAATTCTACTTTACAATATTGTTTAGTCATTAACATGACCAAAAAGAAACGAAAGCCATGCAAAAAGGGATTAATAAAACAACTTGGAGAGAAGCAGAAACTGAACATTTGTATGTGTATATATGTGGCCAAATATAGAACGTTGTTCAAACACAACGTATTACTCAAATAAATATTCGTTCTACCTTCGGAAACGCTATCTTATTATCTTTAGTAAAGTAAATTCAGATACTACTCAGTTAAATTAATTTCTGTCCAATGTACTGACGTTGATTTCACTTAAGAATAAGCTTATATCTATTAATACAATTGAATAACATTTTAAAAGTATATGTTTACCCTAAACAACATCTAATTCAGTAATTTAGGTTATGACAGTTAATAAAATGCTTCATATTGTCACATTTCATTATACAAGTATGACACAAATGAAAGGTATTAAATCGACAATTAAGCATAAATGAATATATAATCAATGTCTGATTCTTAGAACGTAATAGATGGTTTGTGTTGAGAAAATATATATTGACGGATTCTATGATTAGGTGTGAGTTTAAAATATTCTATTATTTAAAATTCATAAATATGATGCATATAAATACAAAAAATTATAAATGAACTCATTTACCAAATAGTTGTGTATAATCAAGGGCTGATAATACTACCGGGTTGCTTAAATGGAAGTGGGTAAAGTAGGGTTGGAACTAAGGTTTTGATGGCTAAAAGTTGAACATCTTAACTACTAAACCACTTTTCCAAATCCTTAAGTATAGTATGAAACATTCACCATATACTACATTACATAATACGGTGAGACTATAATTTATGGACGATTTTGAGCGACGCTAAAGTCACCTTGAGAGTGTCTACCTACCTACTAGGGCTGAGTGAGGGTTATAAAGCAGTTTGAAGAATAAGGATTATGATTTACAGTTGATGGTTAGGGTTAGGAATTAGATTTAGGGTTTTCATCACAAAATAACATCAGCTATAATACTAGGATTCCACTTAGCCGAATGGGTGAATGAATTTCTCGCCAAAATACAAGACCTGTTATCGTAAATCTGATTGGTTAGTCCATAAATTACAGTCTCGCCCATAATACATTATCATCATCCCATGTTACTTACTTACTTACTTACTTACGCCTGTTACTCTCAATGGAACATAGGCCGCTGACTATCATCTTATGTATTAGTTTAATATTGCAAAGTCATCGAAAATCGTTATTTCACCAAAACAATAATAATAATTTAGATCAATAATTGAAGTAAAAATAATTAAAATCATTTTAATTATCAAATAAATAAATAAATAAAAATATGTACAATGATTTCTAAAGTTTAATTGGAATAGTCTCGGAATTGAAATAGATTAAGTAGTTTGTTTATGTAACTGAAAGATAAATCAGTATTTTTATATGAGAAAAATCAATAGGTACATACTCTATTGAAATATATCCTAAAGTTTATATATAAGGCTTATATATATATGGATAGATAGATACGTACCCAGTGCACTTAACAAAGTGCAAGAACCATTTTCACTTGTAAGAAACCACAAAGAATAATAAAAAGAGAAAAAAAAGAAATGAATATTTCTTATCATTATATATAGATACATATAGATTTAACATATAATCATATGGTGTTTTTGCTATCTCCACCCTTTTATTAAAAGGTTAACTTTATTTTCGTTGTTTCTTAGTTTATTGATGAAGTTTTTATTATTATTATTATTATTACTACCACTGATAATGATTACATCCTAAAATTTTTGTTCACTTGTATTTATCCATACAAAAAACACACAACCTTCTTAAGAAAGATTTAAGGAAAGTAATAATTGTATTCTCTTACAATAGACAATCCTATAAATTTATATATTTTGAAGCAGACTACTTTGATTATATGTATATATCAAGTTAAATTATAAAAGTAATATCTCATTGAATTTCTGATGTAAATCATTGAAAAAAAGTGGAATTATTTTTTTTGGCATCATATGTAATGCAAAGGTTAACAAGCAAATAATATTGGATACTTATGTTTTTTTTGTTTTGTTTTTCTATCTGGAAAAGGGTAACATTATCAAATTCTGACAATATATTCGTAATATATCTATATATTATAGCTATATTATTAGTTATTACAAATTATCATAGGAATAGGAATATCATGATATGGAATTATGCAATTCATATTTTATGTAACTGTTTGTTGCTGATATATTTATACAATTTTTAGTTTTGAATGGGACCGGAAAGGAATATTGATCGCATCATGACAAAATTACATTTTATGTGAACTAAGTGGGCAACAAAACATTCATGTCTAAATGAAATGAAAATACTATACATAAATTCAAGTAGAGAAGTTACTTTCACTTAATCAACTAGTTTGCTTATAATCAGTTGATAAAAGGCAATTAATTAAACTAAATTAATTGATCTTTCCTTGTCTTTAGGTAAGACTAACTGATTACCTGGACTGTTTTGATTCATTTCGTTCCGCTTGACTGATATAATGTTTTGAACAAAAATAAAACGTATTGACAAAAGCATTATTTGAATACGGGTGGGCTGCTTCAATTAGCCATTGTTTGTGTTATCCAGAAAAATAACGAAACATAAGCAATCGCGTCATCCATAACAGGTTATGGAACACTATAAAAGAAACCGTCTGGACTACATATCGTTTCGATATATTGTATTCGTAAACGTTAGTAAAATACAATATACTCAAAATAATTAATAATTAAATTAACCTTGGTGTGTGTGACTTATATTGACATAAGTGGTATATGAAGTTAATCGTGGACAGAAGGTCTGGCAGCAGAGAGACAAGAGGATTGAACAGTAAAGAATCGAAACAGAATGTAGTTTGTATGAAAATGCAAGAACAATGAAGTCTGAGTCATTATGAGACAATTGGTGGACATTTTGCAAATTAAGCATTTACTTTATGACTGTTAGATTTTATTAACAAGTCCTGTAATTTTGTGTTAAATACATTCGATTTTCCCCACCCATGCTCTGTTCACTACATAACTACAACAATCGTTATTCTGTTTAACTGATTTTGAAACAAATGAGATACAACTAAAAGTCACTAACTTACTTGGATATTATCATTTCATAAATGAAAAATGATTACCTTACATACATACTATACTCGATTTTTCAAAATTCTAAATTAAATGATTGACGGTTATAATGAAAGTGAAATGATATAAGTGAAATCCAGTTAAATATTTTGTCATGAAACCAACTTACATTTCAATTAATTCTTTACAATGAATGTTAATTATAGTTTTAAATTTACACCTACATAACTTATTCTGTGGGGTTTTTTTTTGATGATATATTGGGATAATTAAAATATAGTGCCTACCTAATTGATAAATTCCTACCTAACTTCAATTATGCCATGCTGAATTTTTCCAGTATGAAGTGATATGTTGAAAACATGATTTATTTTATGGTTACTTTTAGCTGGGATAGAATTTTAAAGTTATCCACTGTCATTAACTATAGAAAAATTTGGATAGTATTTTAGCATAGAAAACTTTAGAAGTCAAGATAATCAAATCGTCTTTTCTACTAATCTGATTGTATTGTTTTATCTAAAGGTTTGCAATAAACTTTCCCACTAGACTTTGTACGAACTTTGAATATCTTATAGTGTGGTGATAATTATACCAACGGGAATTTATTCCATTTGTATATAAAGCTAAGAAGTAAGCAATCATTAGCTACATTACATACTATTTGTATAACAAGTATTGTATAGCGAAAATTCGTCAAAGAAAGATATAAGGTATTTTATTGTCATATAATGGAATTAAGTTTACTTAAGTAAATGAACTAAGCAAAAAATACTGTTACATAAAATTTCGTGCCTATTTTTCAGTAGTATTCTCAACGAGATCATAATATAGGTCAGTTCATTAGTTTAAATCCGGTTGATAATTGTTTAATTATGTAACACGAAATATTCATAAATAGTGATAGTACTTACTTTCACATCGTACAAATGGTGTTTGCTTTTGAAATAAATTGAAATAACTTGAGCCATTTATTAATCCATGAGTTATATTTGGAGGATTATTTCGAGGTGAACAGAAATGTGATAATTTATTTAAAGAACTAGAATAAGAGTGAATTTTTAATGCACCGTTTTCCAGAATAATTGGTTCATATGGTATGCATTGTTTTAAAGAATTCATTTCTATTTGGATTTTGGAATGATATGAAGTAGGGCATTGGATAACATAAATATCCTTTACTATACCTTGAAAACTCGGTTGCATTGCAGCACTGAATAATGCACGCTGAGTTGCATCTGAACGCATTTCATCTGAAAGTTGTCCCATAAACACATAAGGACCAAGTAAAAAGTATTTTGATGTCGAATAAAACTTTGACGGAGAAAAATCTACTGGTGGAAAAATTTTCATTTGAGTGTGATATTCATTAATTTTTAATTTTACTCCATCAATCGTGTGGTTTGTCTGTGATTCGAAAGTAATTTCCACAGTATTCCAACGACTAGAAAAAATGCTACCTGCTTTATTAGATATACGTGAATCAAACTCACTTAAATATGTATCAATCTTACTCTTTTCTGAATAATCTAACGTAATAGTTGTATGTGATCTTGTTATACGATATTGAGGTGAACGTAATTCCAACTCCAATTTTATTCTACTATTCGGTAACAATGTGAGTGCAAAAATTGTCCAGTAACATTATTTTCTGTATATAGCAACAAACCTGTTGAAGTTGAAGTGAAAAATTTAAAGTATAATCCACCTGAAGGGCATGGTTTCAATTCTGGTAGAATTGCATAACTACCAGGTGTTCTAAATAAGAAATCAGTCATAATTCCTTGCTTATATGAGAACAACATGATTGATACTACTATAAAATGAACAAAAATCTAGACTGATTCATTATCCATAATACAAAATTAGAATATAATACAAAACAATTTCCATGAATATATAAAGTTTATGATAATATGAAAATTCATTCCAAATCATATGAATTTTGATAGAATTCAAGGGAACCAAATAGATTTTTTTGTTTTTTTTTGAAATAAATAATAATTTTATTTAAGTATTCACTATAATGAATTTAATATTAAATAAATAATAAATTAGTCAATAGTATATGTTTATTTATGAAACATTTTCTGATTGGTCAACATTCAATATTAACCAATCAGAAATTTTAATAATTCTTCTTTATAAAAATATGAAATCTATTCCTTGTTGAATAATTTCATAGACAACAAGTATATTTGGATAAAGGAATTCACTGAGAAGGAAAGAAAGAAAGAAATACATTAAAATTTAGATATTGAAAACCTGTTTTGTAATGAAGAAAACATTGTTAATTATCTCATTCATTATTATGATTACTGAAAGTTGTCTTCACGAGGGAATTCTCGGAGTTCTAGTGAGAAGCCGTGACCATGTTGGGTAGAGACAGGTATATACCTCAATACAATGGAAGATGGTCGCGCAATTTCGTGAATTGGTTGATGTTGGACACTATCACCACTGGATACCGGCTCAGTGGTCCAGCAGGACGAAACGGCCGTCCAGTGCTTCCAGGTTTTCAATGGTAGTCTAACATCAATCGGTTCATAATCTCAATCAAAAACATTTGTAACTTATCATTATTATTAGTGGCTTTATTCAATATTATATTTTTGGCATAATATAGAATTCTAAGCGCAAAGTATTTCAACAAGTTTCTGTTTCTTATTTCTTGATTGATCCTGACGATAAATATTGTGTGATTGCCAGTTAAATGTTAGCAGTCCAGTAAATTGACATCGAAATAATGTACATTATTTTCTATGTATATTGCCAGCAACCACAATCTCGTGCTCTTTTCTAACTTGTACAGCGAAAAGTCATGAACTTTTGACAAACGCATTTAAATAGGTTATGCGATTAGATGACATAATGATCTGTGGAAACAAACAAAATACAGATAACTTGTTGAAATATCTAGATGGCAAGAACAGGTAGCTCAGTTATTCAATCAAGCTGTCTTCGATAAGATACTCAACTGAATCCCAGTTTTACAAATAAGAAACTGAAGAAATAATAGTTAGCAAGTCAGTTACTAACCTTTTTTTACCTCACATCTGTATATCGATTGTTATATTGTTAGAAGTGTAAAAATCGTTATCAAATCAAACTTGGTAACTAATGATGAAACAAAAGATGTTATTCTTTAAGGTTTTTACCGATAGTAAGACTATCAGAAAATGTAAATGAACTATTCTCATTTCATTCTTCAGTTTGAGTATTAAGGTATTTATAATAATTTTTATTCAATAAATTGTTTTACACTAAAACTAATTTAATAATTTCTCTGTATAATACTCATTAGGAAACCTTATTTAATAGTGACTGCATCGATTTACTCTTAACTATACATAATTCATTTGAATACGAAATTGATAATTAACAGTATTTTGACAGGAATTCAATTTACTGATGGACTTTTTATTGAAGTTGACAATTAAAAGTTTTTTTGACATAGATACTGATGAATTGTTTAGTGTAACGCATGATTTCCATTTTACAGTAATTAGAGGATAGACTTATATTCATTGGAAAATCTTAATCATATTAAAACACAGATATATGAACGAAGAATATTTTACTAAAGAAATTCTCTTCAGTTTCTACACTTATGTATTTAAATTGATAATCTGAAAAGTAGCCAGGTTTAAGATAAAGCCCATCATTTAAAATTGTAACTTGTTAATCAAGGTTTTTTTGTCATATAAAATAAAGTCGTTAATGTTTGGGTGGCTAATATAAAGTGTTAACTTGAATAAGCTGATACGCTACATGAAATTGTGAGATAATGATGATTAGAATAAATATGGTCAATATGGTTGAGAAAGAGAATAATGTGCTTACAAATCAGAAATCACGTAATATATAGAATAAAACCAGTTGGGTACGGAATAGTAAATAGAGATGGATGCTGAATACATTTCTCAAAAACGTTAGCAGGTTTTATATTAATAATAATAACGATATGTGGATAAGCAAAGATGGATAGTGGATAGCAGTGGAATCCAGGACGCGCGTTTCGTCCTGTTTGGGACTCGTCAGCTGGATGTACCTGCATCTCAGAGTTGATGTTCACTCTGGGACTCGAACTCAGTACCGTTTGTTTCAAACGCCATCGCGTTATCCACTTAGCTACTGAGTCCTGATAGCCACTTGCTTGTGCAATGGGTTGAAGTTGAATTCACTTCAGACTGATCAATTTCAGTCCAAAAACATCAATGGGAAAATTCAAGTAAAACAATATCAACTCTGAGATGCAGGTACATCCAGCTGACGAGTCCCAAACAGGACGAAACGCGCGTCCTGGATTCCACTGCTAGCCACTATCCATCTTTGCTTATAATGCTTGTAAATTTAGGCAATATCGAGGCATACGCACAGTATGCACATATGCCAATAAGAGACTGATCAATTTCAGTCCAAAAACATCAATGGGAAAATTCAAGTAAAACAATATCAAGTGGATATGTGGATAAGTTTAATCTATGAAAATGAACATTAATCAAATTACGTCACCATGTCATAAAAATGTTTATCTACCAACAAGGCCAAACGTTGACTAAGGTAAAAAGTGTGACTAAGCAAATTTCCTCTGGGTGCAAACCTCCAGCTTTTTGATCCGAATAGCTATTGCTTCAACCGTCTGAAGAATTCTCAGTCTGAAGGATATAGGCAGATTGCTATTAACACGATGGATCATTTTCTAGGTTAGCGACAAAAAAGTTTCAGTAAATATGGAACCTAGTAATGAATCCATTGCGACACCATCTATTTGTCTAAATATATAACTACTGAATTTGAAGTTAGCGTTCATAATGCAATTTCTTAATTATTCCTAATGATTCCAGCAGAGAATTAAGTCTATTTCTTGTTCATAGAGTTGTTCATAGACATATTCTACCATCTACCTGAGTGAGGTATTTGTAAACAATGATGTTGCGTCTCAGAACATCATCGTTTGTTCGTTCGTGTTTATGTTTGTGGTCTTGTCTATGAACTGCAATACATTATTAATACTGTGCTTCATTAGGCGTTTGTGGAATGGCTCTAAAATGACTACTAACCGTTTCGCCTCATTATTTTAAGAGGAATCGTACATGTCCAATATTGATCTCAATGCGATATCCGGTTTGCGTACTTTCAGTAGTCCGTATAACCTTGGCAAATAGGTTCCTATAGATTTATTTTTTTTGTATATATTTGGTGGAAATACCTGTTGATCTATGAGCTTTTTAAAGATCTCATCATTTCGTTCACTATTTTATTACTGACGTTTCTCTGGCCATTCAGTTTTTGGAATTTTAGATGATCAGTCAAGATGTTATTCTTGATCAACATTTCCCGTTCCTTTATCAGGTTCCATAATAATAAAATTTTTCATCATTAGTAAGTTTACTGATAACATTCCTGTGTTCTGTTAGTCAATCAGATTTGATATGAAATGTTCAAGCTCTTGATCGGAGAACGTTGGCAAGTAAACTTGAACCTATGATTCATGCTAGTTTCACTTATCAGCAAAGTATGGGGGAACGTATGATTCTTGTAGCGTTAAGACTTCATCATTCAACTTCATAGTATGAGATATTACCAGTGAGCGTTTGTACAGCAACTAACTAATTCTGAGATATTTGCAACTAATGTGAAATTTTTTTGCTAACATAAATGGTAAAGTCCAATAAATAAATAGAATAAAATGGAAAACATGTTTGAAAACTTTGATAAACAGACTTGAAATATTTACGGTGAGATTCAATTTGAGATATTTATTCCAAATATTCAAAGCATTTTCACTATGAAGAATTATACTGTTAGGTATGAATACTTGATTTTACTATTTAAGCTAAAAATGTGTCAGCAGTTTGTTTTAGTACAAAATTTACAAGTATGGACAGTCATATTAAGTCAATTTAATGATCAGAAATGCATAAATCAGTACACTTTATTGCTAGAAAATTGATAGAAATCTTAAACTATGGAAAAATCTAGAAATAAATATCATATGGGCTTGTGGAGATTGTTGTGTTTTTGATTGAGCTCGTAAATCGATCAATGTTAGGCCACTGCTGGAAACGTGGAAGCACTGGACGGCCGTTTCGTCCTAGTATGAAACTCTTCAGCAGTGAGCATCCACATTGATCGATTCATGATCTCAATTAAAAATTAAAACTAAATTTCAGATATTTTAAAGTCTGATGTTCAGCTTGAGACCATTCTCTTCAAAACCATGTTCACGGAAGTAGTAAAAATTTATTAGTCAAATCAAGATTATAAGTATGAAAGTAAATAAAATTCATTACTATTGAATGGAAATGATGCATAATTATTATGAAAAATCTAAACTATATTAGGTCTTGGTACAGTATTTAACTGTGTGGATCATGGAAAAACAGTTGCTGTATTGAACTACTCACAATGTATCGATTTATTTAGCTTCTAGTCAATCCCACTGTATAATTAGTCTAATAACAACTAAATCCTTAAAAGGATACTTTATGATTTTTCCAAAATCATCAAATTCACAACCAAACGAAAATATCCTAATCCAGTCAGGAAACAAAGTGAGAAAATTAATTATGATGTCACATTAACGTCATTTTTACTCTGAAATAATCACTTAAAATGTATTTTAAGTACAGTACACTACTTTTGTCAAGGTAAATCAGCACTGAGGACTGGATAACATGATTTCAGTTATTAGTCAGTGAATGATTGGTGTATCCATCTCAAGTTCCCGATGAATCAATAAGGTTGAACTTTCTTTACTATTACATTAAGTTCAGTGAATATAAAATCTCACAACAAGCAATATTTTCTACAAAATTTGAAATAGTTCATACTAAGGGGTACTAATTGGCTCAATCCTCCCTTACAAATCTCCTCTATCCATCCAGCTGGTTTACATATTACACGTTGTTGTTAATAGTTTTCAAATGTAACACTTTAGATAAATAGAATTGCAGTGAATGATTTTGAATACAGAAAAAAAATCCGAAGTTCCATTAGTAAGAAAACA